CTTATTTACCGGATCTTGACTTTAAAGCGTTGGAGAGTTTGAAGGAAATCCCGTTTTTAAGCGAAGATAACAATAGATTAATGAGAGGAGAATTGAAAGCCAATCTAAATCTATTGAAATTATTGCTGACATATAATTTTTTGGCCAAAAAGTTTTATTTATTTCATATCGGAGTTTGCATTCCTTCCGCATGTGATGCCAGAGATGTTGAAAATGTCTTACAAAAGGGTTTGCTTTCATAGAGAGATAATACCTAACAATAATTTAATTATAACCTATTGTTTGATAGTTTTGTCTCCAATTGCTCGCATTCCTATAGAAGTCGGTCCCAAATGTGATGTCATTACAGATCCATTGGTTTTGAATGCATTTCAAATAGTTATGTTGTAAGCAATGTTAAAGTCAGTTAAATATTAATATTAATCTAACAATCATTTTTAAATTATACTTTATTAGAATTATTTTATTAATAATGGTACTATTAGTGTTGGTTTGTACTATTTTATTAGCCCTAAAACAATATATACCACAAAAATTAATGCCAAATGACTCAAAGAAAGCAAATATTTATGAGGCGTTGAAATCATTTTCGCTGACCGAAGCTAACAAACGATTAGTGAGTTCTCTAAACAGTAGCCGTCTATTGATAGCCGACGGACTGCTCTTCGTTTACATCCTATGGCTGACCGCATCCATACAGTACGGCTCGATCGCCAGCACCGGTTTCGTTGGCTTTAAGAAAATACACAACAGTTTTATCATAAATATCATTAAAGAGAGTAAATATTTTTGGATGCGATCCATGTTTCCCAGGGATACCATCTTTATCCTCAGGTAATATTGATATACAACTGCTATTTGCGGCAATTATTTGTCAAAAAAAACAAAAAGCAAAGCAGTAAAACGTGTGGATAAAACCCTATGTTTAGCGGAGTAATGATTTCCTATGATTTCTTTGGGGAAAAGAAGAGATCTCTAAATATCTGGCAATACATTAAATTCGTAGCCGAGAAGTGGTTTCGGTTTACAGTGAAAATGTTTGCACCGATTCTAGTGCTCAATGCACTGTCCGTTATGGGCGACGGCCCTAATTGGCATTCAGGCCGACAGTTGTTTGTCGACGCCTGTCATCGCAATTATTGGAAAAACCTATTGTTTATAAACAATTTTGAAGAACAACTCATAGATATTGTATGAAATCTAAAATATTTATTTTTCATTGATTTATATAAAGCAATCTATATTTAGAAAATCTATTAAATATATTTTATATGTTTATATTTTATTAATATATTTAGTGCAACCCTTTTACGTGGATTCTGGCCGTTATATTTCAATTACAGATAATATCACCGTTTCTTATGATACCGTTTCGGATATCACCCAAATGGGGGTATATTTTTAGCGCCGTTGTTATAGTGTTGGGATGTTTTACGACAATCGCTCCCAAAGTAATATACGGACTAAATCTCATACCATTTGAAGTGTCAGAACTCTATACCATAAAAGAGATTAAATATTCATTTTATCGTTTTTTCTTACACACCGATCAATATATATCATTGTTTATGATTGGCATAACATGTGGTTACGCTATGAAACATAAAACAAGCCTGGATCAATTATTTAAAAGCAAAATTATCAGTTTCATAACCGCTGCGTTTTGCTATGCGATGAGTGTTTTGGGTATCGTTTGGAGCGAAAACTTTAAAGACATGAATAAAATACAAAATAAACTCAATTTAAACATTTGGTTCATCTTCGGGAAGATCTTGTGGTCATTTGGCAACGTTTGGCTCATATATAGCGTGTATTCAAATAGAAATGGTTTTTAAAATTATATCTATAATTAGGTTTAAATAAATAATTTGCAATTTAAATGCATTTTAGGTACAGTTAATCGCATGCTATCCGCCAAACCTTTCCGAGCAATAACTAGATTGACATTTGGTTTTTGTTTGGTTGCGTTTCCAATCATTAAATACCGTGTTTTGACGAGACGAGAAAACATCGAGATCAGTCATACAAATCAAGTATTTATCTAGTTATTAATATTTATAAAATTATATTATTAATGTATTTATAATAATTATTTAGCTCCAGATTCTTTACCTCGATTTCTCGTCAATGTTTGTGTTTTCGTATTTGATTTATATATTCATTGAATTTCCATTAATTAATTTGTTTGAATTTATTAAAAATGGCAATTATTTTGCAAAAGTAACTGATATTCAAATGACTGATGATAATCAAAATGATTCTAATGTTAATAAAAAGCCTAATGAAACCACCGTTTAGACAATTATAAATATTTTGGTCAATAAATTTGAATTAATTCATAAATAAAATTTATAAATATTAATAAATAAGTATAAATACTGTTATTATTTCTAATAAATATTAGTAGTGAAAAAAAGCCGGCTCCAGGGAAATTTTGTCCTAAAATCACAAAAATTTAAAAACTATTTCAAATTTGAACAAAAATTAGACGGAGCTCGGAACTCAAATTTATGGATAAATATTTTATCATTTAGGGGTACCCGCCGGTAATATAAAAGATCAAAGTTTTGTCAAACTGATTGAATTATTTGAAATTTTGTACAATTTTATTAAATAACTAGAAAATTATTAAAGTTAGATTATTGATATTTTAGAATAATATTCTCTCAAAAATTCTAAACTCAACAGTAAAAAAATTTTAAAAATATCTCTTATAGTTTAGGAGTTATAGTGATTTGAAAATATTTTGACAAAACAAAAAGAAAAAAAAAAGAAAAAAATAGACCAAAATAGTCCAAAGTAGGTATCATATTATACCACTAATTTGATGATTGGACCACTTTGAAATTTTTCTCATAGAGTTAACATTGTAGTCCAGTAGACTTGTATTGAAATTAAATCAAATGTATTCAAATTCATGTAAAATGTGATTTTACGTGTGAATACCCCCTAAAATTGTTAGCCCTATGTATTTAGATGTGTATAAATATTATACGTAAAGGACATATTTGCACACCACACCTAATTTAATGCAATAAATTCATATATACCTTCTAATATTCCAACCCTTGCACACAAAACAAACCGCACCCGACAATGGCACACAGCATAACACACCCTTCAATTAATTGGGAAATTTCTGACCAAACCCAACTTTTAATTAGTTAATAAATAAAATATTCAATTTAATTGTCAAAAATACACATGATTAATTGATTATTTCGAAATTAATTTGAATTTTGCAACAAATAATCTTGATTTCTAACCTTACTATTTAATTACATTTTTAGAAAACACCCTTTCGTTTGGGTATATAAACCCAAACATTTTCTATAGCAAATCACTCAAATTCATTTGAATTTTATTTGAGTTTTAAAAACTCTTATCTTTGAAATTGAATATTTCATAAACATAATACTCTGTATTATAAATGGCGAAAACAAGCGTTTCGAGTTTTCTCGATTTAGAGGCTAGAGAGTCCAATAATGGCTCTGACGATGGTTCCGATGACGAGATAGTTTCTGTCTCTAATGAGCCAAAAGCTTCGGGGTCTAAACGTAAAGCGCCGGCAAAAGCTTCAAAACCGGCAAAAAAGGCAAATAATACAACGTTCACTGAGGACGGGGCTATTCGTATTGAAGTCCCGGAGCAAAAGAAATGGAGTGATCAGCCGTTAATGCCTAAATTTCAAATCGGTTTGCATTATATTTTATTAATTAAACATATATTTTATATTTGTATTTAAAGGAAACACTGGAATGGGATTGAGAGGCAATACACTGGTTTTGTACAAATACACTTCAGACGGGAAACCTAATCCAGGCTTTAGTTTCTGTGTTGGACAGGACTATGTGCCTAAATTTTACGAGACTTTGTCTCTTATGCTAACAGAGCGAAAGCTTGTTCAAAAATTTAAAAAATAACTGTTTTGCTTTGAATTATATAAACCTTTGCTTTTATATGGACATTGATTTTAATTAAATATTGTAAACTTATACATTAAATTGTTGTATTTTAATAATTACTCAATAAAAATTATTTTGCATTTAAACAAATGATTATTTTATTTAAAGATTTTAATTGATATTTGTGTTATGAATTAATTTTCAAAATGTATTAAATTGGATTTGTCAAGTATTATAATTTTTTATACTTATAATAAATTGCTGGCCAGGATTTATTATAATTTTTTAAATATTGTCAATTTTTATATTGCATTTTATTATTTTATATTTCAATTAAAGTTTTATCCAGTGTTATCATTTTCAATAGTTCTAATAAATTACTGGCCAGGATTTATTATAATTGTTTATTTATTTGAAATTTATTTCATTTTTGAATAATATTAATATTTCATTATTGAATTATATTTGATATTTCATTTAATATTACATTGTTTGTTTTAAATTCAAATACTTATAATAAATTGCTGGCCAGGATTTATTATATTTTGTTAAATATTGTCAATTTATATATTATATTTAATTATTATTGTATATTTTAATTAATATTTTATCAAATGTTATAATTTTCAATAATTGTAATAAATTACTGGCCAGGATTTATTATTATTGGTTATTTATTTGAAATTTATTTCATTTGTGAATAATATTTAATATTTCATTATTGAATTATATTTAAAATATTATTTAATATTACATTGTTTGTTTTAAATATAAATACTTGTATTAAATTGTTGATTAAATTTATTATAATTGATTATTTATTGACTATTATATAAATTTTGTTTAAAATTTAAATTAAAATATTTGTATTATTTAAAATTTTAATAATTGAATAATATTTCTTATTAGAATTTATTATAATTAATTACATATTATTAAATTTAATATTATTTTATATTATTTAATATACTATTAAAAATTAATATATTTATATTATATTATATTTGTAATCAAACACAATGTTTGAATATTAAAATAATTGTGTAAATTGTGTTAAATATATTATTATATTAATATTAAATATAAATAATTTTAATTTATTTAATTATTTTCAAATATTTTTAAAAATATATATTATCTTTAAACCAAGTGTATTTTGTTAATTATATATATTAATTTAATGTATATTTTTAATTTTAATATTTATATAGTTTGATATTTCATATTTTATTTTATATTAAGGTTCTGAAACACGCGGTTACTTTCACATTGATGAAGTTGATTGGGCAATGCTTGATTACAATCTTAAACTGTGGCGTAAAACAAACCCAAATTGTAAACTAATTGATATTATGATTGATTTGGTAAATTATATCAAAAATAAATCAATGAGAGGAAAATATAGAAAATGTGTTATAAGTCCTGTGAAATCCTTTACGGTTTGTTATATTAAAATATTATTAAAATTGTAATAACATTATTAACATATTTAACTGTTTTTCAGTCAATCGTATAGACATTTGCTATTGTTCAGTAATTGGAGCCCCATTTATCGCACCGGACAATGGACTAATCTTTACAGATGATTTTATATTAATCAATGATTTAATATATAAGTTTTTTATAAACACAATTAATCTTTATTAATATTTTTGTTTTAAACAATGATTTAATGTATATGTTTTATAAATAATTTTAATTTTAAATAAAATTTTTATTGCATTTAAACATTGGAATTTATTTAATAACATAACCAATCATTTTTTGCATTTTGGATTAATTCCAAAAGGAAAGGTTTTGTTTTTGAATAAATATAAGTTTTTACAAAACTGGTTGAATTAATTATAGTTAGATTATCATATTGTGATGTCATATTGACATTGGGCAATTTGCCAATAAAGGCGTTGAATGAAATCAAATTATGAATTGTTAAATAACAATTGTCGATCTCCTGTTTCAGAACATAATCAATCTCATTCCGGTTAATACATATATCAATCATTTGACTGATATATTTAGAAAAATACATTAAATTTATTAATGATATACTAAATAATATTATAACTAATATTTTAGTAATTGAACTAATTTTATTATTATTATTATCCATTATTATAGAAAAATCAATGGCGAAAACTAAAGGAATACCGATGCCAAAAACTTTTGTTTGTAAAATTCGTGGATGCAATAAAAGTTTTTACGGATTACACCAATTACTTCGACATGAAAGGCAGTTTCACGAACATCAAATTATTCCTACAAACTTTAATATTCAAAATAAATTTAATTGTAAATATTGTTTACGACAGTGTGATTGTTTAATGACTTTACGAAACCACTTACGTTATTGTTTGAAATTTAAACCACCATATCGATGTTTTATTTGTGAGTGCAATTATTTTTCAAAAGATGTATGTATCCGTCACATTGAACATGAAATGAAACAGATCGGCAAAGGATTAATAACTCGTTTGCCTAAATTACCAAGAAATTCAAACTTTAAATTATCACGATCTTTTCTCAGTGCTAATCTTCAACAATATGAGCTATTTCCTGACGGCTCATACGACAACATTGAGTTATTTTTAATTAAAATTAAAAATAATGCTAGTGTGTTATTGAATAATATTGTGAAAACATTACCTTCATTCAAAGTGCAATTCTGTCTTCAAATTACATTTACTCGATCTGCAGGTAAACAAACTCTATATACAATTGCTTATATGTGTAGCTTAAATAACATTTATAATTCAAGTATTAAATTAGATGATTTTTATGATAGTATTATAAATTATTTAGATAATAGAATACAAACATTTGAAGCTGCAGGAAGTGGTTGGAGAATCTATGAAATAGATAGACTAGATTTGAGAATTTCTATATATAATCCTCAATCTGGTGGTTGTTTAACTAGAAAATCATTACCATCTAAAATTTTAAACAAAAATGCCCTTATATCAATTAATTCAGATGATAATAAATGTTTTTTATATTGTGTATTAGCTTTCATTGCTAATAATAAAAATAAATTCAAAAAATGTCCATGCAATAAAGTTGCTAAAAAATGTTTGATTCATAAATTACCAGATATTAAATTACAAAATATTTCAGCATTAAAAAAATTTATAAATTATATAGACATTTCTAAATTAAAATTTCCTGTTGATTTAAAAATGATTAAAAAATTTGAATTAATGAATATTATAAAAATTCAATCAAAATTTAACGTATATACATATGAAGAATTAGATAAATGTAATGAAACCATTATTCCTATTTATATTTCTAAATTAAATGCAAAACATACTATTAATTTATTATTATTTGAAAATCATTATTATTTCATTAAAAATTTTAACAGACTAGTAGGTAATAAATACAGTTCTTTTAATAAATTTTGTATAAATTGTATTACAGGTTTTAAAACTGAGTTAAAATTAAAAGAACACTATGAATTTTGTAAGCTTTTTAAACCTAGCAAAATAGAAATGCCTCAAAAATATTTATATTTCAAAGAAATTAAATACATGTATAAATATCCATTTGTAATGTTTGCTGATTTTGAATCAATATTAGTAAAAGACAAAGTTGATATGAGTCAGAAAACAAAACAACTTCAAAAACATGAGCCTTCAGGTTATTCTCTTATTGTAATTGAAAATGAATCAAATATTTATTATTCAAACTATTATAGAGGACCTGACTGTATTAAGAAATTTTTGAAAGATATCCAACAAATATCTGAAAAAATTCAAGAAGAACATTTATTAGTAAATAAGCC